AAATACAAATATCCTGTTTTCACATTAATAATTTAATATTTTCTTCAAAAAAAAAAAAAAAAAAAAAAAAAAAAAAAAAAAAAAAAATTTATTTTAGGTTTCTATTTAATTTGAATCTACACTAATTCAAGGCACTTTATGTTCAGGCACTTTTATGTCTGATACATAATTATAAAATCTGGTACCAAAAACATATAATAAATTAGTATTAGTTACACATTTTTACAGTTTTGTAAAAAAAGTCAAATTCGCCGAATGTGCCCCTACCCGGGATAACTTCAGCATGGTACAGCACCATAGCCATGTAATTATCACCCGTATCAATGTGTGAAATTCAGGCCCTCTAAATGTTCCATTTTGTTTTAATATCCGACTCAAAGTTTGACTTTTAAGGCTTAATTTTCTAGCGGCGACATTGGGCAATGTGGCTTAAAAATGTCTTTACTTGATAAGTTGTATTTATGTCGACTATTGTTGCGAAATTGCATCTACGAATTAAATTGAACAGTGTCAAGGTTCGGACATTTGGCATCACACCAGTTTATAGTTTTTTCATTTATTTCTATCAATCTTCGAAAACCATTATATTTTAATTATTTTTATAAGAATATACATTGGAAGTTTTATACACGAAATACTTTCGAAATGGAATGGAAACATTACAAAAACATTTGTAAAAATACAAAAAACCGTGCATCTAAAAAAGTTTATTAGCTAGAGATTTCAAACTGTGTGGCAGTAATTTATTTTCATATTCGATACCTATGTATCGAAGCGAGTGATGTACGGGGAGAGCTTCACATCGAAAACGCGATTGCCGAATGTGTCCCGATGCCGAAGATGCCCCAGTCTCCCCTACTCTACCTAATGCCGTTGAAATTTTTGGAATCGGATCATAACCGCCATCGAAAAGAACGAGAATGGAAGGTCCCCACTATGGGCCAGAGATCCCATTTTTTGGCCATAATTAGAGCAGTGGATTTATGAAATAAATAAATATCAGATACAAAGGTTTCGAGGACGCTGATTACGATTCTGCAAGAAAAAAAGTAAAAATTTAATAGGGTGAACCGAATTAAATTATTTTTGAACACGTGTTGTAGAGCTATACTCCAAATGCGAAATCTGAAATCTGTGGGGCCTACCCCGGAGATCTGCTGTATTTAAAATATATAGGCAATATTGCATATTTTTTTAATATTCCATTTTTAAAAAATCGTTTTTTTTTTTGCTACATATATAAAGACACATGTCCTAACTCCGAATTAGTTCGTGATCAAATTTTCTTAAAATCACACAAGTCTGTGTAGCGGTTAGTAAATTACAGCAACAACAAAACAAAGAAATTGAGTAAAAATTATTTTTTTTTTGGTTTGAAGAAATAATGTCATCATATTTATTTCTTAATTTTATACAGTATTTTTCGGGTAATTGACCCTACGGTTAATTGGTTTCCACGCTTAATTGAACCAGATGGTGGGACAAAAAATATTTCAGAGGAAAATAAATGTAAATTTTCTCGGATAATTAAACCCTGTTGATTGATTTTCCCGCTTAATTGGCTCAAAATTCATGTCATCAAAAATAAATTCCTTTTACTTTTCACCGGTTATTTACATAATAATAATTGAAAAATAATCTGCCATTTTTTTACATACATATTTGACATAATTTGTGAAGAAGACTAGGTGGCATCTCTACTAATTCAAAAGATATGTTTATGGCTAAGGAAAAACTGCGAAAAGGCGTAATTTGTATTTGACATTGGATTTTTTTTAAACCATTAGTAGGTCCAATTATATGTAATTGAACAAGCTATTCAATTAGGCGGGTTCGGATAATTGGTTCCTCGGTTAATTGAACAAAAATTTTTGCAAATTTTGATGTGCAATTAACCGAAAAATACTGTATAAGAAATTTATTTTTTTTGCCGAATTTGACCGGTAAATGGGCTTATATAAAAATAGTCACTTTTTGTGTATGTATGTTATGAAATATATATTTTAAATTGTGTCTAAATGGGGAAATCCTCTAAATCAATCGATGCACATGCGGTTTCCAGGATGTAGTACACGTTGTATTGAAGTGCCCAAAACTCGTAGAACGCGAATAATATACGAAAAATCCATGTGCCTTCAACGCGCATCTATTTTATTTTTCATATATTTTGATAATTCCAGTGTTATAAATATGTAAACCTCGGTTTCAGCTATGCTGAAAAATTGGCAATATTGCCCATATATTTGGCCTGTTCCAGTAATTTTTTAAAAGCAAATCTAGTAAAAGGGAAAAATTTCAAAATTGCTCTCAGAGTACAAAATAATTTGAAAAGTTCGGGACCGGAAATCTAGTAAATATGACAAAACTAGATGGCAATACTTCAAAATCAACATAACAGCCAATCAGAAGTAGGCATTCCTGTTTACCATTTTTACTCGACCAAATTTCTCGAGTAAAAAGTTTACAAAGAGAACGTCAATTTGTTTTGTGCTCTCTTAAATTTGAGTCAATGTTTTACCAGTTTTGTGGGTTTAGGAACGGTTTTCGAGTAAAAAGTTGCAAAACATCGAACGAAACTATTATATATAAAAAAATCTAAAGAACATTTTAATTTTTTTCTGCATTCATGCCACCGAAATCAATTACCTTCATGATGTTCCAATGGTATCGAATTTTTGCTGGGACACGGATCACTAACGGTATTTATTAAATGGATAAAACTGTTTTATCGACAAGCTCTGATGAAATAAAAAAAGTAATACAGAACAAACAAATACCTTAATACATTGTCGTCCGTAATATTTGAAAACGCCATATGCTCCGATGAGTCATTAGGAAATGTAGCAAATCCAGTGAATCTAACGCTATATAAGGGAGCACATTGCGTTAGAATACGTGTGCAGAGCGTATAAAAAGTCTACATTTTGTTTTAGAATTATTCAGTTGATTTCCAACTTTGCTGCATTACAGTCAAACATTTGGTTAATCGCTTATTTCGCTTCGGGTTATAGCTTCGCTAACATACAAAATGGTACGTTATAAATACAAAGAGTGTAATTGTGTTTGTGAGCTAGTGAAAGAATAAATATGTGATATATCTGTCTATTTCCGGCGGAACATTCCCCAAAATGTTATTATATTTGTATTTATTAAAAAAGAAATCACAACTTAGAACATTACAAGTTAAATTTATAGAAAATAAGGATTAGGACTTAAACTAAAATTCTGCACATTTGCCTATTTGAAAACAAAAGTTTATAAATGTAGAAAAGGTTGATTTGAGGTGGTGAAATCATGACCTCAATAAATCATCGCATAACACGCCAAATGGCATGAACATAAATTATAGTGTTCCACTAATGAATATATTAGCATCTAGAAAAAGTGTGAGTGTTAATAAATTCTAAAATTTTAGTTATGATAGAAGCGCAAACATTGGAAACTTATAATAAAAAGGATAGTACACGAAATATTCCACAACAAAAATCGGTTGAGAATGCATTGCAATCTATCTGTTTTGTTCTATTAGTGGAAAAAATCCGCCCTTTTAGTAGTTCATATGAATATAAAGAATTTCAATATATAAGACAACTCAAGAACATTTGTAGTGAATTTCCTGGTTTATAACGATTCAGAATAAAAAAGTATAAAATGTTGCCATTATTAATTTTTCATAATAATTTCCCATGGATGTAATCTTAATTATACTACTTGGATTGATTTTTTATTGATTTCATTGATAATTTGCAATTTAGGATATTCGAACAAATCAGTTACAAAATTGTTGCCTCTTGAGAAGTGATTGCAAACGACTTAATTGTATGAGATTGGATTTTTCCAGAGATTTTCTAACGTTTTTTTTTTCGATTTTTATCCTCACTCATTCTTAATCGAAATTAAATTGTGTGTATTTTGTTTACAAAAACAGAGCAATCGTCATATAATCTGAAACTTTTTTATTTTTTGGAAAAAACGAAAACGAGCAAAAAATGTGTGCATCTGGCTTATATTTGGTCTTTTCCAGAACCTGCAAGAATGTACATTTACGATTTTCGAATAAAACGTACGAAAGTATCCCGAGTTCTTTCCGAATTTCGGATCAAACACCCAATAATTTTCCTAAACTCAAATGTTTCTTCCGATGTTTTCCGACAAAACGTTGCGAATTCCTGGGCATCTTCACACAATTTTCTCCGATTTCCGTATGAATTCGGCATCAGTCGTTCCGAATTCGGAAAAAATCTGAATAAATTGCTGCGGTTTAGCTAGTCGTGTAAAATATTATTAAGATTTTCTAAATAGCAGCACAACGTTTTTCAACCGAGTTGGCTCTAAAATAATATTTTATTGACTTTGGATAAAATAAATACAAAATTATAATAATATTAAATAAAATAAATTTCTCGAACATTTTTTTAATTAACGTTTAAATAGGAGAATACAAAACGCTAATTGAATTCCTCTGCAACTACTGACTCTTACTTGATCACCGGGTGTTGCTTGAACCTTTGTGCTCTAGAAAATTAACAATAAGCAACTGATACTTAATAATTCGGTATAAGAATAGCTATTGTAGAAATTTGTACTATAAGTGTTTGAATAGGAAATTTGAGACCAATGGCATTTTGTAAAGTTGCAATATAAATAGTTTGTATAAAAAAACTAAAAGAGTGTATTTAACATCTATTGAAATAAATATGATATTTGTCCTTATCCGCATATAACATATTTACAGGATTTTTCAGGAAAATATACACTTACATTCAATTAATACCTTTCAAATGTTATCAAAATCCAATAAATAAAATAAAAATGACAACATCGTTATTCTGACAAATAGCGGGAAAATCTATAGAAGAGTATTCTCATATGTGTTTGTCAGTACTACTAATAACTGTTTCTTCCATTTTTAGAGGGAATGCATATCTGTTCATATTGGCCAAGCCGGTGTTCAAATAGGTAATGCATGCTGGGAATTATATTGCTTGGAGCATGGCATTCAACCGGATGGCCAAATGCCATCAGATAAGACAGTCGGCGGAGGTGATGACTCATTTAATACCTTCTTCAGTGAAACGGGATCTGGAAAACACGTACCACGAGCTGTATTTGTTGACTTGGAGCCAACGGTTGTGGGTGAGAATTTACATGAAAATCTTTTTTTTTTAATAAATTTATATTTTTTCTAATACATATTTAGACGAAGTCCGTACTGGAACTTATAGACAATTATTCCATCCGGAGCAGTTAATTACGGGTAAAGAAGATGCGGCAAATAACTACGCCCGCGGTCACTACACCATCGGTAAAGAGATTGTAGATTTGGTATTGGATCGCATTAGAAAATTGGCGGATCAATGCACTGGATTGCAAGGATTTTTGGTATTCCACTCATTTGGCGGTGGAACTGGTAGCGGATTTACGTCACTACTCATGGAACGTTTGTCAGTGGATTATGGAAAGAAATCTAAATTGGAATTTTCAATATATCCAGCTCCTCAGGTAGGCTTACTGTTGCTCAGCCCTTTATGTTTTCGTAAAAACGAACCACACGTATTCTCTCTCAATTTAGATTTGCCATTGTTTTGCATTGGCGGCAGAATATATTACAAATACCAATGCAAGTAATATGAGCATTACTACATTTTACTTTTATTGTTCTATACATGAACCAAATTTGTTAGGATCTTGTTAGGAAATGAGAAGCTGTGGATCATTAAAATTGGCTGACTAAAAATTATGTTTTATACACGGATACTTATATCACATAAAAGTACAATAGAGTAGATTGAAAAATCGTTGTGGTATTAAATAGGAAAATTGAGATCGGTATATTTTTGGAAATATCATTGTTCCAATGAATGAAAATCAACATATTTAAAAGGTAAACGTAATTGACGTATATTAAAATAAAAGTGAAAACTTTTCCATAGAACAACTATACGGATGAATGTTTTTAAATGAAAATTGAGAAAATATCAATAGACCTTTTATAGTAACATGAATCCTGTACGTATAAAAATACCAAATATCACAACCACATAAGGCCTCTTGCAATGTTGGGTACTTGAAACTTCAGTTGGTCCAAATTTATGACCGAAAGATTAGTAATTTTCAATATAGATTCATGTTTTGACATATTTGACATATAAAGGTCCCACCTAGACTCCGAAATGTTGAAGATCCTATCATGAACACATGTTAAATTTTGGTTCGATCTGGGAACTCCTTCATATAACAGAAGAAAATTAAAAATGTGTGGTTTCATTGTAAAAAATGCCGATGCGTCTTTTTTAAAAACCTGTTTCTATATGAAGGAGTTGCCAGATCGAAGCCATAATATAATTTAACAGAGATGGAAGTTTCCAAAACACTTAACTTTTTTCTGTTAATACCGAGCTTTTTGTGCTAGGCTAAGAACATTCCGAACTGCCCTCGTATATGAAGGAGTTGCCAGATCGAAACAAAATTTAACATGTGATCATAACAGAGATGGAAGTTTCCAAAACACTTAACTTTTTTCTGTTTATACTGCGCTTTTTGTGCTAGAATAAGAACTTTCCGAACTGCCCTCGTATAGTGACAGCATTTGAAGCAAACATATGCAGATTTGACAACAGTCAATTGATTTTCGGTGGTATTGCCATATTGAAATTGCTTAATTCAGTATAAATTCAGTTTTATTTTGTGCCTTAACAACACATACAATTGAGAATAATATACAAGTTAATTTGAATTATACTAGGTAAACTAGGGTATTACAAGTACCTAGGGCATTACAGGTGAAACATTATATAAACTGTTTTACTTTTGTCGATTAGTTATTGCGCTGCAACTAAATATATTACTTTTTATTGTTTATTCTTTAGGTATCCACCGCTGTTGTCGAACCATACAACTCCATACTAACAACCCATACCACACTGGAACATTCAGACTGTGCATTTATGGTTGACAATGAAGCTATTTACGATATTTGCCGTCGAAACTTAGATATTGAGAGACCCACATACACTAATTTGAATCGCTTGATTGGTCAAATCGTTTCGTCTATTACAGCATCTTTACGATTCGATGGTGCTCTCAATGTGGATTTAACTGAATTCCAGACAAACTTGGTACCGTATCCACGTATTCATTTCCCATTGGCGACATATGCTCCGGTAATATCTGCCGAAAAGGCTTACCATGAACAACTTACTGTTGCGGATATTACAAATGCATGCTTTGAGCCAGCCAATCAAATGGTTAAATGCGATCCACGCCGCGGAAAGTACATGGCTTGTTGCATGTTGTACAGAGGTGACGTAGTACCAAAGGATGTAAATGCAGCCATTGCTACAATAAAGACGAAGCGTTCTATTCAATTTGTCGACTGGTGTCCAACAGGCTTTAAGGTTGGAATCAACTACCAACCACCGACCGTCGTGCCTGGTGGGGACTTGGCCAAAGTGCAACGAGCTGTGTGCATGTTGTCAAATACCACTGCGATCGCCGAAGCTTGGGCTCGATTAGATCATAAATTTGATTTGATGTATGCTAAACGTGCATTCGTACATTGGTATGTTGGCGAAGGTATGGAAGAAGGTGAATTTTCAGAAGCTAGAGAAGATTTAGCGGCCCTAGAAAAGGATTATGAGGAAGTTGGTATTGACTCTGGCGAAGGCGACATAGGCGAAGGAGATGAATACTAAAAAATGCTTGTAGAAATCTTCAAAACTCCACTCTAACAGAACATTTTATGTATTTTTTTATTAAGAATATTACAACCACAATATTTATTAGTTTCTGTAACAGTTTTCTCTTTGTATCTTCCTCTATTGCGAATATTATTGTTTTTTACCATGCATTATAACTCACTCCAACGAAATGAAATAAATTATAATATTTAAATTTTTTGAGCAAAACATTTAAACTTCAGTAAAATCGAATACGATATTTATTTTCTGTATGTATCTGGCATTTTCTTGCTTTGGTAAGTCTGGGTTATACATGCAACATTTTTATGCAACTCTGCTGCTGTTCTCTTCGATTCCTCTTTGAATTTCTTCCCCCTTGCCACTTTTTATGCCTCTCTCTTCAAAGAACTCAGCAACTCTGCATACAAAAGTTGCATGTATAAACCCCGAGTAAATCATATCTTTTCTTTATTTTTTTTAAAGTAAATTGTCAAAAACATTTTCAATCACTTTTAAACCCGTTCGTTGATTTGATACAATTAGTTTATGTTTTGTATTCCGTGTTGAAATTAGTCTCTAAATCCCAGCTACACATATGTATCCTATATTGGAATCTGTCCATTGGTGTATTTGATATACTCTTATCTTTCATTAAATGGCTGAACAGAATGTTCGCGTTGAGGCTTAAACATTACTCCCTAACCTAAAATTGCCAACAACCCATGGTATAATTATTACAAGGTAGGGCACAGCTACCAACTTATTACAATTTTTTCTCAAGGTGGCTTGTTCCATCAAATCAAAATACATATTTTGTGTGTGTGTGCGTATTGTTTTGAATACTATGTCAAATAAACTCAAAATAAATTGAAATATATTCAAGTTTAATTGAAATGAAAATTATGTTTTTCACACGTTCGTCTAGAAGTAATTATTTTGTTATGGATGAAACAAACATTTTATGGTATTCCATAACACAAATATTTTATTTCATTCATTTCTCGCGTTTTTATGAAAAAATGTCAAATAAACACAAACACTTGTTGCGTATATTTATTTTATTTTTGGCAGAAGAAGCCACACGTCCATAGTTGCTTTTTTGTTATTCAAAGAATAATTATTGACAAAAATTAATAAACAGAAATGGATAATTTTTTTTGTTTATTTTTACCAAAAACTAATTGTCAACATGACAATTTAATTTCTATAACAACGTTATAGGCGTACAGAAAAATTCAACTTGCCCACTTTTGCAAAAACTTTTCTTTAGTAATATATATATATATATATATTTGACGTTTCCATCAGTGTTGTTTTGAAAAAGTTATATAAAATACTTTTTTTACTATAAATCCGTTCCAGAACCTAAAAGAATCTATTAATTTTACAAGTTTTGCAAGTTTTTACTCGAAAACCGTTCCTGAACCTACAAAACTGGTAAAACATTGAATTATTTAGAGAGCACAAAACAAAATGGCGTTCTCTTTGTAAACTTTTTACTCGAGAAATTTGGCCGAATAAAAATGGTAAACAGGAATGCCTACTCTGATTGTCTGTTATGTTGGTTTTGAAGTATTGTCATCTAATTTTGCGGTATTTACTTTTCCCGAACTTTTCAAATTACTTTGTACTCTGACTAGCTTTACTATTAAAAAAAGTAGTGGAACAGACAATATATTACAATTATAAAACATGGTGCCAACTTTGAAATGTTAAAGGAATTTAATATTAAAACCATTCTATTATGTAAAACCTCCAAAATTTATATTTATAAATTAATCGGTATTTAGATCACTTATTTAACATTTTTTTAAATTTTGAGCTAAAATGATCCGTACACCTGTGTTATTATTCATCCATATGCCGACTATAGGAAAAACTTAAAAATTGTTGTTCCCGTGCTTCATCGATAAAAAATAATTAGAGTAACTTCGGGTAATGTGGACCACAATTTTCTTTTTTTAATATTGTGGACGTAACAACGGTAAAAAATAAAAACAAATTGTTTTCACAGCATAGTAGATTTGTTGGCTAAATATATTCCAGGTCAAATATTATTTATATTTGTCTATAAAAATGTTATTGCATTATATTTGTATAAGTTTGATACGTTCTGACTCAACTTCCCGAGCTCAGTCAATCACGTCTGCTGATTGACACCACGGGCATCTCCTCGACAAGTTCCCTCAGCGGGGACCGTTGAGTGCAGATGCCACCGAGCGGTGGTTGTTGCTGTTTTGCTCACCTTGTTTGACCTTTTCTCCCATTGGAATATGTGAATGTAGTAGTAAACGACAACCGATCCTGGGCGATCACCGCAATCCTCTGTGATTGCATGAACCACAGCGTTCACTAGTCGACCAACCTCCTTAGAGTTAACTTAGTCGTGAACTTAGTTAGATTATTAAGATTTTTAACTACTTCCTTGTGTTCTATTTCTTTGAACTTTATTTTCTTTTCCATTTACACCATAACCCGTTTGGGAGCTCTCGTTATCGCTTCACCCCCTTGAGTTAATACGTAGATCACCCCCCAACCACTACATCACCACGGCGAGGAGTAGAGCAAGCCCCTCGCTTAAACAATATATCAAAAAACTCTAAACTGCGAATAAAAATAACATGGCGGGTAATGTGGACCACTATGTGTGTGTAATGAGGATCAGTAAGTTAAAGGTAGGTTGCGAATTGGTTGTGATAAATTTCCATTTATTGCACTCTTGGGTAACAATGAATGCAAACATATATGGGTTAATGTTTTGGAATAGTCCCCATTTAAGGGTACCGCCCCATTTGCGGTATTTTGAAGGTCCTTGCTTCAGTATCCAACCGAGGCACCTGTAATTTCGCATATCGAGTTTTCAGAGGATAGAATACCACCTTGCATATTAAATGCGCCCATGTTTCGAACTCGTCCTCATGAAAAGGTCCCACTTTTTTATAGTGGTCCACATTACCCGACATTGAATATTTTTATTTAAAAATAATTATCGGCTTCAAAAATGAATAAAAACTAAAAATCACCGATTGTAATTACTGCTAAACGTATATTTTTGTTCAAGAAAACCACATAACTTCTTTATATCCGAGAAAAACCAAGTGTTCGACTATTTTGCAAAAACGTTCGACTATTGTGCTAAAAAATTTTCAAATCACACTTTTACAATCAGAGCTGCATTTTCTACTACTACATTTTCAACATTGTAATTATTTATTAAAAACCAAGTTTGATCATAGACTAATGAAGATATAGACGACGAAATACTCAAAAAATGCGCGGTCAATTGACTCAAAATAAAAAACTCAAAACAATTTTAATGACCTAGTTTTTTTTAATGTTTTTATCTGAGTCTATAGTTTCTGCTTAAAAATAAATATATTTAGTGGCATTCTAAATTAAAAGGTTCAATCATTTAAGTAAATCAGCATTTAAAATTGAGTAGCGCATTCAGCAGACTCAATTCAGAGAACACTGGTGAGAGCATTTCGTTGTCTATACATTCATTAGACTATGGTTTGATGTTTGTTTTCACTAATTGGGAAGACATTTATCATGGCGGCATTGACATATTTCAAGCATTTTCTTAGATATGGGGTGTGGTCCACATTAGACGCCTAGTCCACATTACCTGAAGTTAAGGGCTAAGCAGAATGCTCGCGTTGAGCCATCCGTCGCGTTATATGTTATCGAAAATACAACAACCACAAGGAAACGATAACACAAACGATCGAAGTTGTTGTGCGCTGCGCTTCGGAGTTAAATATAGTTCAACTTTTTGCGTGCGTTAACGCGATAACAAAAAACGCTCAACGCGAACATTCTGTTTAGCCCTTTACTCTACAAATATTTTTTAATCAATTTTAATATAGTTACAAGCCTTTTAAAACAAAATTTTCTTAAGAATCACGAACACTAAAAATCGTAGTGTTCCACTGTGCAGATCAATAAAATTCGTAGCGTTCCACTTGCCGGAAGTGTACTGGTAGTGTACCATACACGTATGTTTTGTTTGTTCTGATTTAGGTTAGGCGAGTTTACTTGCGGCAATTCTTATCGTTCTCTTTTGAACTTGCTTCATGCGTTTTTTTGCATTTTGTAAATGTTTTTTTTTTTTTGTGGAAAGGAGATTGAATAAAACAACATCAAAGGAATTATAGAAATATGAAAATGTTTTGGATTGGTACAAGGTAGATAATATACCTTGGATTGGTATTTCAAATTACTGACACTACAAAAAATACACAAAACGATTTGCCAGAAAATTGCCGGTACGAGGAATTTTTTCAAGTTCTCTTCCTCTCGCTCCTTACTACTTTTAATCGGACAAATTTTTCGTGTAAAAAGTTTACAAAGAGAACGCCATTTTGTTCTGTTTTCTCTTAAATTTGGTTCAATGTTTTACCAGTTTTGTGGGTTAAATACGGGTTTCGAGTAAAAAGTAGCAAAACTTGTAAAATTGGTAGATTCTTTTAGGTTCTGGAACCAAACAATAATAAAAAATAAAATCCTCTATACATTTTAATATTTATGTGTTAATAACGTGGTTATCTGCAAAAGGACTCTCAATTAATACACGAAAGAGTAAAGCTATGTTTTTTTGGGATCTTGCAAGAGAATTCAGTAAATGTTTTCATTTATAATAATTCTATAAATGTTGTAATCTCTATGAAATGTCTTGGTTTGTTTCTTGATAGTAGTTTGGTGTTTGATGTGCATGTTAATTCTTTGGTGTCCAAGGTAAACTTTATTTTAAGAAAGTTGTACTCTTTGGATATGGCTCCACCAAAGAGCATTAGAATTCAATTGGCCCATGCATTGATTATGCCAAATTTTTTGTATTGTATTGAGATTTTTGGGAGTTGTTGTGGATATGTTTTATGTACAATTAAACTCTTGTTCCATAGGGTTGTGCGATATGTATATTGTGTTAAACGTCGTGATCACATTTCTCCTTACGTTAAAGAGTTCCTCGGTTGTACCTTTGAAAGTTTTGTGAGTTTGAGGTCAATGTTGTT